TCAAAGTCAAGGTCATTGATGAGTGAAGGTCAAGGTCTGACTGGTTATTTTTAAGGGATATCCTTGAAGATTATTATGTTCAAGTTTGAAGACAATCCATTCAAAAATAACAAAGTAACAGCCAATAACAGCATGAACAAGCAAAAATTGGACTTTTAACCTTGAAGGTCAAGGTCATTTATGGATGAAGGTCAAGGTTAGTGTGGTCTACTGAAAGGTCTTGTCCCAAGGGTTGTTGTGGCCAAGTATGAAGACAATACACCAAGAAATAAAAAAGTTATGATCCAGGTACAAGTTTTCGGACGGCAACGGCAACGGCAACGGCAACGCCGACCTGACTATAACAATACCTCTACTTTTTTTTTCAAAAAAAAAAAAGTCGAGCTAAAAATAACAAGGAAACTTTGTAAACAGAATGAAAAAGTCTTTCACAATGAAAAAACTTTAAAAAATTACCGATATGTTCTGAAAATCAAACAATTAAATAGATTAAAATGCAAACATAAACTTTCTCTCTTCCATTGGTCACAGAATACATCTTTAGCCTTTTACTGTACATTTTATTTAATTTTATGCTCTATTAATACAACTGTACTTAATTACTTTGGTTCATTTGTTTGAACATATATATGTACAATCTCTTAAAACTTTCTGTCTTCACGAAAAAAAAACCTTAAAACCCATGTATTATTCCATTAATTGTACATTAAACATGTTTAGCTCTGCTACTACAGTTTGATACTTTTGCCCATCAAACACTAAAGTTTTCAAGAAATCCTTTAAATTAAGATAAATCTGGTTCACAGATTTTTCAGCAGATTCCTTAGAAACCTTTCATTTCTGTTCTCTCAAATACCAACCTGCAGACAATAAAGTAGTATTATCTTACATGATATTTAACGTTTCTCATGGAAAACATGCAATTTCTCAATAAAAAAACAAGCCAATTATTTTCCAATAAATCTCTTATAATATTCCAGAATGAGGTAGTGATGTGGGTTTTTTGGGGGTTTTTTTTAAAGAAAATTTCAATAATTGAGGAAGTTTTGTGAGTGATAAATGGGGAACAAAGCCAATTTGAATATCTTGTCAGACATGCTCTATCTTTGGCTATAAACAAAAACTGATATAGTATACAGTATATAATAAAAAGCAAGCACCCCCAGGTTGAATAATAATATCTCATAAAACACTATACCAGTATACAATAAAGTACTACATACAATAAATGGAAATTTATGTTTTAAAATACAATAATCAAAATTATTTGAAATTAATGTGTGTTACCACATGCAACAATTGCTTAGAAAAAAAACTAAACTAAAGTCCTCAAGTTTCCAGTAAATTTCGACAATTAAAAAAGATAAGATTATGCCTGTTGATCAAAATTTAGGAGCGCAAGTATATAATTATAATACATTAAAACTGTTAATTTCTAAACAAATCCTGTTAAGCTACAATTCTTCTCATCAATCTAAAAATAATGGTAAGAGAATTGCATCTCTGTGAATTGTCACATCAATCTCTGGAAATCCCACGCAAAATAACTTCAGATATGTACAAAATACTCTAAATACTTTAATTCACAGTTAATTTATAGGTATCTGCCAATGTCAAACATTTCAAACATAATTACACTGCACTGGATTTCAGACTGAACTGTTAACTGTTAAAATTCTATTTCTGCTAAAATTCCACTTTACACTTGAGTACATATCACTTTTGAATACCTACTGAAATTTTGATTAGGGTAATATCTGTTTTACATCATTCTTTTCATAATTATCTAATGAAACAGCAATTGAGATCTAAAATAAAGGTGATAGTATATCAATAAAATCACATATTAATGGTAAAAGCAATAAAACATTTAGCTTTCTTGTTTTAAAGCAGCATGCCTCCAGATTGTTATGCTGCGAATTCTCTTCGATTCTACACGAAAATACAAGCAAACAAGTGGAATTTTAGATCTCTGCTTTCTACTTACAAATATCTTGTTTTATAATACTTACTATATATAGATGATTACGGGTAGAAACAAAATGTTACATTCTATTTATTTTGTATATATATTTCTATATATTTATATTAATTTTGTAAATAAATTTCTATATATTTATAACTATTTGTGTATATATGTACTATATAATTGTATAGGTTGCTAAAATGGAATCATGCAGGGTAAAAATATAATATTCTAGAATGATTACAAAAAGCTTTACCTTTATATTCGGTTTATCTTTTTCCTGCCAATGTAGGTCATTCTCTATTGTGTCATAATTGAGACTCTGAAAACAAAAACATAAATGATACTATAATACTTGTTCAATACTGTTCTGAAGATGTAATCCATCCCTAACATCACATTCAATCTGTAGAAATATGAAAATGAACGGATAATTACAGTTAACAAATATTAAGGCAGACTATGAAACTCTTGAGACTAAGGATTTATCATGAAAATGTAGGAACTACATCCTGGACATTATTATACAATTATTGACTAGTGAGCCATTGAATATGATGTGATATTCACCGGCAGATGACATATTGACCGAGGCGATAGCCGAGGTCAATATGACTTTCTGCCGGTGAATATCACATCATATTCAATGGCTCACTAGTCAATAATTGTTTTATTATATGAAAAGGCTAAGAATTAAAAAAAAAAACACGAAAAAGTACATCCTTATATACATGTACAAATTTTGCCTCGTTGAAGCGCGGGAAAAAAGACGCACGTGTCAGGCGTGCAACGACTACGCGAACGCTGCGCATACAAAAGTAATTCAAGTTTATACTCATCGATGCGGTTTAGCCTTTAAGTATAATAGTAAAGTAATGATATTTCAATCGAGAAATATGCCATAAAGAACAAAACGCAACAATTATTTTTTAATTAACACACGTAATTAACAGTCTACGGTGTATGGTCATTGAATATGAGTCTCAATCTATATTTAGACTTGGAAAATCCAATTCAGCCAGTTAATATGATACTACACCCAGTGAATATGATTTTATAAAAAGTTATGTTGACTACAGTTTGGACCAATGAGATTGCAGCTATTTTTAGATCATATAATAATACAAGTTAAGTTACATCAGGTAAAATTCATTGATAAACAACTAATTCATACACCAGCATATTTCTATCAGCAAAGAAATTTTTTGTTTAGATTGGTTTTTACCCCAAACCACCATTACAAAGACCATTTGGCAACTTTACAGCCTTTCTGGTGGAGGAGGACCTCAGAAACCATTCCATGCATTATTTCAGGCACAAACCAGTCCCCTAAGTAGAACCATTAATATTCTATAAACTAGCTAGATAGCTTCCTCACTTGAAACAATCCAGAGTTCCTTGCAAGATTCAAACCCAGAGTGGTGAGGGGCATTAAAGAAATACAATTTATGCTTCTAAAACTGCATTTGTAACTAAATAATGGTAAGAATTATCATATAACTTACAGCAAAATTAAAGTTCTAACTATTTAAACAACCATATCTTTGTCTAAACCTTTAACTACAATTTTATCAGTGACATGATATAACTGTTTCTTCAAAATACATTAATATCAATATTAAAGCAGAAATCTAGACTTCAAACATTTAAAACATTAATAATGTTATGTCTGTATCTGACAGCTATCTTTAATCATTCTACATTTTATAGATTTCCTTTTTTGCCAATATAAATTGTTTCTACAGTCAACAGTGTTAAATTCAGATCATATTGCAACATAACATAATTAAAATCCTATATACAGAAAATCTTGCTTCACTTTGGTGGTATAGACATTAAAGTTCAACTTCAATTCTAAGGCAACATAAACCAGATTAGAGCCTGGCCAGCTTGCCTATCTGCTGGCTGCTTTATAAAAGTGAGTAAAATGAGTTTGCACATCTGTTGGCTTCTCTAGTGAGCCAAGCTAACTTGCACATCTGCTTGCTCCTCTATTAAGGTAAGTAAGATCAGTTTGCACAACTACTGGTTGCTCTATTTTAGTGAACCAGACTAACTTGCACATCTGCTGGCTGCTCTTTTTGAGTGAGCCAGACTAACTTGCACATCTGCTGACTGCTCTATTTGAGTGAACCAGACTAAATTACACATCTGCTGGCTTCTCTATTTTAGTGAACCAAACTAACTTGCACATCTGCTGGCTGCTCTATTTAAGTGAACCAGACTTAACTTGCACATCTGCTGGCTGCTCCATTTGAGTGAGCCAGACTAACTTGCACATCTGCTGACTGCTCTATTTGAGTGAACCAGACTAACTTGCACATCTGCTGACTGCTCTATTTGAGTGAGCCAGACTAACTTGCACATCTGCTGGCTGCTCTATTTGAGTGAGCCAGACTAACTTGCACATCTGCTGACTGCTCTATTTGAGTGAACCAGATTAACTTACACATCTGTTGACTGCTCTACTTTAGTGAACTAGACTAACTTGCACAGCTGTTGACTGCTCTATTTTAGTGAACTAGACTAACTTGCACATCTGCTGGCTGCTCTATTTGAGTGAGCCAGAATAACTTGCACATCTGTTGATTGCTGTATTTCAGTGAACTAGACTAACTTGCACATCTGCTGGCTGCTCTAATTGAGTGAACTAGGCTAACTTGCACATCTGTTGACTGCTCTATTTGAGTGAGCCAGACTAACTTTCACATCTGCTGACTGCTCTATTTTAGTGAACTTGACTAACTTGCACATCTGCTGGCTGATCTATTTGAGTGAGCCAGGATAACTTGCACATTTGTTGACTGCTCTATTTGAGTGAGCCAGACTAACTTGCACATCTGTTGACTGCTCTATTTTAGTGAACCAGACTAACTTGCACATCTGCTGGCTGCTCTATTTGAGTGAGCCAGACTAACTTGCACATCTGTTGACTGCTTTATTTCAGTAAGCTAAACCAGCTTGCACACCTTACAAATTAAGAATGTAGAAATTGATTAAACATTATACATGCAGCAACACAACAAGTATTTACACGATACACATACCTCCCATTTGGAAACTATTCTCTTCCTGAACCTTGTCTTCTCACCATAGTCTTTTATTTTCTTGGAAATATCCTGAAAGAAACAAGCAAACTAAAATGAAGTTAAATAAATTTAAGTTCCTTAGTCTTAAATGTCCATAACTGCTCATCTTTTGAGGAAAAAAATGACTTTTTTTTTTATTATTTTTTTTTTAATTGGAGCTTAAAAAGCCTTAAGGATACAATGTTACTGTCAAATCATAGTTAAGTGCAAATACATTATATTTCTTATCTTATAGGGACATTTTCTAAATATGATTTATTTTTCAAACACACTATGTGAAGCAATAACCCCAAGGCTGAATGATATTTGGCAGACTGGTAGGTCTTGAATAAATTACCAGGTTATAAAAAATATAATTACACCAATTTCTGGAGATAAACTAAGTAAAGGAAGTCAATATTTATCACCTGATCAATGAATTGTATTAACAGATCTTCATGCTTACATCTGCGTGTTAATCTTATAAAATGTGTTTCAAGACGGAACTCTTAAATAAAACAGCTGGATCCCCTTGAACTCTTCTGACTGGCTTTCATTCAGAATCTGTTTGTTTAGCTGTTTTTTTAACATTTTCTTTTCAAACAGGTTACTTCTTGGCATAAATATGAACATGGCAGTATGAGGAAAGGCTATATCCCCTGTTGCAGAACAACCTTTGACTGAACTTTAATTATGACCTTGACGTTAGAAGAAGCCACATGGTTTTTCAGCTCTGTGTATCATCTCATAATAATGATTGTTTGTTCTATATGATTTTAAAAACTTTTAAGTAGTTTAAATGTTATGAAGTGGATAAAAATGAAGACTTTTTATATTTTTCCTTGTGACCTTGACCTAATTTTTGCGCTCTGCATATTGTCTTATAATGATGATCATTTGTGCTAAGGTATTTTAAAAACATTTCAATAGCTTGATAGTTATGAAGTGGACATTTTAACACTTGATCTGTAAGACTGACCTTGACCTTGGAGGATTGAGAGACCCAGTTATGGCACTCTGCACATCATCTAATAATTGTGATCATTTCTGCCAAGCTATTTTAATTAAAAAGTCATGAAGCTGACACAAAATGCAGAATCTTTTTACATTTGAAATTTATGTGTGACTTTGACCTTGTGGGTTGACACCTGATATAATTGTGATCATTTGTGCCAAGTTATTTCCAAAACTTTCATTAGTTTTAAAGTTATTGAGCAGACATGAAAATGTTACGGACCAACAGACTGAAAGAAAATTCTTTAAAATCATACAGTTGTCCCCTATCAAGTTTTTTCTTTTTCTTTGTAAAAATTATACCATGTTAGGGTGCCTTCTCTAACCTGTCAAAGAAAGCTTTGACCCCTATAAGGAGATATCGAAAACTTGCTTGCCTTAAATGCTTGCTAGTCTTATATAAACATCATTCTTCAGTATATTTAAACTTGACTGATAAAAGTCAGTAAATTTCTTAATCTTTACAATACAAATGGAAAAGGTAATACTTTTGTAATTAGTTTATTTTATTGAGTGGCCATTTTAACTGGCACTTGAACTTTATGTCATCCAAAGTTAAGTCCTTCAATTTACTTTCTGTGCAAAACGTGATAGATTAACTTTTATAATACATCACTATTATAACTTGTAACAGATCACAACTTAGAGCATTTGAATTTTCTTTCATCATTTTCCATTCAATATTAAAGAATTTGAATATTTGAAAATACAAAAAAAAAAACATCTTAAACATAATGTAATCTTTAAAAACAGGAAAAAAATTAGTTGAAAATACTAATATACCTCATTAAAGGTACAAATGAATAAAAGCATGCAACAATGTTTCCTATATATTTACCATATCTGTAAACTATCACTGAACATTAATAATTACATCTCAAATCTGGCATATACTTTTGTTTTTTTTGCACAATTGGAATTGAAAAAAAAATCCTGATTTGACAAACAAAAGCTACCTGAGCTAACCCCCCCCCCCCAAAAAAAAAAAAGTGGATGTTTCAGTCTGGACAAAACCATTTATCATTAATTTCAGGGAAATATCAAAGTACAAAATTAATGTACAGACTCAATAGTTAACAGTGCAGATCATGATCAGACAGCATATAGATGGTGACCTCTGAACTTGATCTGCACTGATTATATGGGTATAATATGTCCGACTTCTTATTGATGAATGTTAAAATTTCTGTCTCTCATTATTAAAGGGACTCCACTGAGATTTTTTGACATGACGGGACTGAAAATAATTTTTTAAGACCCATGTCCCTATTGATGTAGGTCTATACCAATTACTTGTGTACCAAATTTCAAAATAAACGCTCAATCCGTTTTATTGAGATTAATTATTCTAATTGAGATCAAATAAACAAAAATTGAAAAGCGTTCTAAAGCTTTTCACTCAAATCGACTACGAAAATCACAAAACTACAATTTTAGATTTATTTCTGAGTATAATTCTTCATTATTTTTGCAAATCTTTTTGTTAAGTGTCACAGTTGATCTATAAAAAGAAATTAATTGGACCTCAGTGGAGTTCCTTTTAAATCACTGAAATTATCAACAGACATTAACTGTTCCAAATTCAAAGCAAGACTAACCAATAATAACATAAAACAGAAAAGGTATGTATTAGTGTAAAACAGAAGATTATTTTTTGCACACTCAGATAACCTTGCAGTTAAATATAACGGTCACACAGGCGTATAGGTTTGTGTGCACTTGCAATGCATGTTATCATATCCTAGACAGATAAAGACACATATCAAATAAAATAATGTCTTACTTAATATCCTGTAAATAGAGAATTAAAATTATTGAAGTTGTTCAAATCCAATTCTTTCAGGAGGTAAACTCCTTAATCTTTGTAGAAAATGTAGGGTAAAACATTAAAAATCTGCACACTCAGGTAGCTTGAGTTTGTCAAATGGGGAATTTTTTTTGCAATTCCAAAACATACTAAACAACAAAGGTATTTTACTCTTGAATGCTAACTTGCAGTTTATAATAAAACTAGAACTATCACTAAATGTGATTAATACCCCCACAAGACTGCTTCGGAAATGAGGATGTTACTAGCAACAGAATACCTTGTAAAAGAATTGAAATATAGAGTTATGGTTTTAGGCAATTAAAGATAGTTGTGGTTCTTGTATGTTGCATTTCCTTTCAATGTGGTTGGCCATTTATGAAGTTTAATTAAATTACTCTGTAATAAGTCCAGAAAGACAAAGAAAAGGAACAAAGGGCAATAACTCTATAAATACTAAAGATAGAGTTATAGTTCTTGTGCACTGCACTGAATCCTCTTATTGTGCTTGACCATTGTATGAAGTTGTTTTGAATTCCAACCAGTATGTTTTAAGTTATGCTCCTGACAAGGAAAAGTATCAAAGGGCAGTAACTCTGTATTTTATCAAAATGGAGTTATGGCTCTTGTGCACTGCACTTCCTTTTAATGTCCTGGACAACTGTATGAAGTTGTATTGAATTCCAAACAGTAGTTTTCAAGTTATGCTCTGGACAAGGAAAAGTAACAAAGGGCAATAACTCTGTAATTATTCAAGATGGAGTTATGATTCTTGTGCACTGCACTTCCTCTCAATGTGCTTGACCATTGTATGAAGTTATATTGAATTCCAAACATTAGTCTTCAAGTTATTGTCCGGACAAAAAAAGCAATGGAAAAGTAACAAAGGGCAATAACTCTGTAATTACTTTAGATAGAGTTATGGTTCTTGTGCACTGCACTTCCCCTTATTGTGTTTGACAATTGTATGAAGTTGTTTTGAATTCCAACCAGTAGTTTTCAAGTTATGCCCCGGACAAGGAAAAGTAACAAAGGGCAATAACTCTGTAATTAGTCAAGATAGAGTTATGGTTCTTATGCACTGCACTTCCTCTCAATGTGCTTCACCATTGTATGTAGTTATATTGAATTCCAACTATTAGTCTTCAAGTTATGGTCCGGACAAAAAAAGAAAGCAATGGAAAAGCAACAAAGGGCAATAACTCTGTAATTACTTTAGATAGAGTTATGGTTCTTGTGCACTGCACTTCCCCTTATTATGTTTGACAATTGTATGAAGTTGTTTTGAATTCCAACCAGTAGTTTTCAAGTTATGCCCCGGACAAGGAAACAAAGGGCAATAACTCTGTAATTAGTCAAGATAGAGTTATGGTTCTTATGCACTGCACTTCCTCTCAATGTGCTTCACCATTGTATGTAGTTATATTGAATTCCAACTATTAGTTTTCAAGTTATGGTCCGGACAAAAAAACAAAACAATGGAAAAGCAACAAAGGGCAATAACTCTGTAATTACTTAAGATAGAGTTATGGTTCTTGTGCACTGCACTTCCCCTTATTGTGTTTGACAATTGTATGAAGTTGTTTTGAATTCCAACCAGTAGTTTTCAAGTTATGCCCTGGACAAGGAAAAGTAACAAAGGGCAATAACTCTGTAATTAGTCAAGATAGAGTTATGGTTCTTGTGCACTGCACTTCCTCTCAATGTGCTTGACCATTGTATGTAGTTATATTGAATTCCAACCATTAGTCTTCAAGTTATGCTCCGGACAAGGAAAATGCAACGGACGTCTGGACCGACCGACCAACCGACCGCCCAACCGACCACCGGGTGACTCCTATATACCCCCCCAAACTTCGTTTTTGAGGGTATAATAACATTTTAACCAGACTTCATATAACACTCTTATATGTTGAATTTAGAAGTTCTTTATTTTAAAGGTCAATGATACCATAGACAAAGAAACTTAATGATTATGGGCATGGTAGAGATTAAGCAAAAGGCTGAAACTGAACCAAGTTAGTAAATCTACAATATTTTGTCTTAAACTAAATAAAATCTCAATTTTAAAACATTTATGTGGCCTAGTACTTAAAGTTGCCAACCTCAAATCACCCTTATCACACACTGACTTAATATATAGTTTGAATTGCGCAAGACATTGATTCCTGCTCAAGGAGATTAGTATCCAAAGAGACAGCAATCTGCCTTGGTTTCCTATATCTTAACAGACAGCAATCTAGCTAACTATAACAGAACAGTTTTGGTTATAACTAGGTACCTGCTCTGATAAAATGCTTACATGGACAATGGACTTCTTCCATTTACCACCTTATAACCAAGTCTGTGTGACTTATAATCCACTTTGCTTTATACAAGAGCAAAAAATCTGAGAAAATTTCCAAGGCAGCTTTAGTATCAGTATTTAAGTGAAAATATACTGTACATAATATATACTGTACAGACAGAAAAATTGCTTGTGGCCAATGTTGGTGTTATGCTTCCACCCTAACAGAAGACATAACAGATGATGTGTTATATTTTGTTGACACTGACAGAGGAAGGAAGTTCAACAACGAAGCCAGACTTAAAACTCATCGTCAACATTTGGAATAATGCCTGTACTTTTATATACATTTTATTTCATCTTAACTGCCATAAAGCTAATGATTGCAAAGTATTGGTTGGTTTCAGGAATGGATTTGAGAATGTGTCTATAAGTTTATAGCTTCCTACACAATCAGACTTAAATGAAAATTAAATTCTGTATAAACTGATCATTTATGATAATAATATGTTATTTACCCTCCATTTATTGGACAATAATGCGGTGATGCTGTTACTGGTGAGGGTGTCTGTAGGTGTGACTGGAAGCCCATTTGAACGTACTGTCTCGGAATTTTCATCAATTGTATCAAATATTGACACTCGACTTGTGACAGGAGCATTTCGTCTTTGTTCAGAATCTGTTACCTTAGTAACTGTGAACTGTAATAAAAGAAATAAAATATTGGCACTCTTAATAATGTAAACAATATTGTAATAGACAAACATTTTACTTCTCCCTCCATCTTCCCCATGTGCAATTTTTCCAGAACCCTTTATGAAAAATTCTCTGTAATTATACAATTAAGTAAATTCATAAAATGTTTCAGAAATAATTTTCAAGTGAACACATTGAGAAAGTTGTTAATGAAAATAAGAACTAATTCCTGATGAAAAAATAACACCTTATATAATCTAGTTGTTTCAGTATGAGTATATTAACAATTATGTTTTGATTCAAGAATTAAGTTTGCATATCTAAAACAGACTTGTGCATTATAAATACAAGAAGAATAATGGTTATTTTCTATTTGTGATATTTAAAGATATCCTTTAGAGAAAGCTGGTTTATAACAAAAAACACACTTTTTACTATATAACTATGAGTCTCCTATTTAAAAGTAGTTTGTCTGTCAATCACGGGGAAAATGCTTGGATGGTTTGAATGCATCTATCTATACAACAGACTTATTAACACACAACAGTCTTTTCAATGCAATGTAAAGCCCCAATCCCCTGTACAATATCATATGGAAATTCCCCAGTACAATATCATATTGAAATTCCCCAGTACATTATATTGAAATTCCCCAGTACAATATCATATTGAAATTCCCCAGTACAATATTATATTGAAATTCCTCAGCACAATATTATATTAAAATTCCCCTGTACAATATTATATTAAAATTCCCCAGTACAATATTATATTGAAATTCCTCAGCACAATATTTTATTGAAATTCCCCTGTACAATATTATATTAAAATTCCCCTGTACAATATTATATTGAAATTCCCGAGTAAAGTATTATAATTTCACTGTACAATATTATTTTGAAATATCACTGTACAATATCATATTGAAATTCCCCCATACAATATTATATTCTAATTCCCCAGAATAATATCATATTGAAATTCCACTGTACAATATTCTATTGAAATTTCCCTGTACAATATTACCGGTATGTTGAAATTCCCCTGTACAATATTATATTGAAATTCCCCTGTACAATTTTCTATTGAAATTTCCCTGTACAATTTTCTATTGAAATTCTACTGTAAAATATTATATTGAAATTCCCTAGTACAATATTATATTGAAATTCCTTTGTACAATATCATATTGTAATTCCCATGTACAATATTTTTTTGAAATTCCCCTGTAAAAAATTAGAGTACAATATCATTTTTAAATTCCCCAGTACAATATTATATTGAAATATCACTGTACAATATTATATTGAAATTCCTCTGTACAATTTTATACTTAAATTCCCCTGTACAATATTATATTGAAATATCACTGTACAATATTATATTGAAATATCTGATTCATCACAATTTCTTCAGAAGAACGAGTTATCGAGAATATTGGAGAAACATTTTTTCAGAATTTACTTTTCAGTAATAAAATTCAAATTTACTTTACAAGACCAACTGAAACTTAGAATGACAGGAGTTTGGACACTTAACCTTCTCATGGAACACATTAGTTATCTAATAATAAACATGCCCAGCCACAAATAGAGCACAATTCAAGTATATTATAAGTATATTTGAAGCTCTATGGTGAAGTATATAAGAAGCTTGGTTGCAGTCCCTGCTTCATATGTGCTTTCATCTATTTGATGGAAATGCTAATGGCCAACACATAGGTGAAGCTCCTTTGAAGCGCGTTCGAATTATGCTAATTAGGCTTCAACCGTACTTCTTTAAAGTATCTTTGGAGTACCCCTTGAGAAGTACATTTGAAGCTTGCATATTAAGGGAATTCAGTGTAATTATGCAGCACACTTGAAGCCCATAAAGAAGTACAGATGAAGTCTCAGTTAAGAAGCATACCTGAAGCTTCTCTTTGAAGCACACATGAAGCATATTGATGAAGTACAAATTAAGTCCCAGTGAAAAAAGTACTATTGAAGCCCCACTACAAAACTTAAAAGCTCCAAAATCAGTAAACATTTTTAGATTTCTCTTGAATCTTTTAACTTAATGGATTAATTACAATTAAGGTTTTACAGACATCAGGAAATCACAAAATCTCACCTGAGCACTTTTTGTTCACGTGAGCATTACAGTATCAACTTTCAACTGATAAACAATAATAATTCATTAAATGTTACATCAAGGAAATTTATTCAGTCATTTCACCCACATTAACAAATACGGTTCCATGCATAAAGGTATATCACTATAATACATCTTATGAGCGTAACATCTATTAAATTTCAATTTATACATGTCCTTCACTTTCAGTCTTTTCCAAACAGATTCACTGGCACAATCCTGGTTTGATTTTATATGATGGGAATACCTCTTCTGCATCCTGTAAAAAAAATATTTTAAAATGATTTTTTATTATGTATAAATGCACATATGTTCTAGATTGGTAATCATGCAGCTTTAAAAAAACATAACATTAATACAAAATATCTGCAAAATAAGTTTGAAAATATATTAAAACAAGATATGTTTGTAAAACATGTATGCCCCCTATCAGCAGCCAATTAGTCATGTGATAAGGTTATTATGCATGACTTCTGACCCAGTGATCAAACAATTAATAAGGGTTATCAAGTATCTACTGGTCATGACCTTAACCTTTGACCCCTTGACCCAAAACTCAACAGGGGTCATCTGCTGGTCACGACCAATCATCATACAAAGTTTGAAGTTCCTAGGCCTAAGCGTTTTTAGTTAATTGATCGGGAACCTTTTTAACATACAAGGTCAATGTGACCTTGACCTTTGACCCCTTGACCCCAAAATCAATAGGTCATCTGCTGGTCATGACCAATCACCATACCATGTTTGAAGTTCCTAGGCCAAAATGTTCTTAAGTTATTGATTTGAAAGCATTTTTACCTACAAGTTCAATGTGACCTTGCCCTTTGACCCCTTAACCCCAATATCAATAGGGGTCATCTACTGGTCATGACCAATCACCATACCAAGTTTGAAGTTCCTAGGCCTAAGGGTTCTTAAGTTATTAATTGGAAACCATTTTTACCTAAGAGGTAAATGTGACCTTGACCTTTGACCCCTTGACCCCAAAATCAATAGGGGTCATCTACTGATCATGACCAATCACCATATCAAGTTTGAAGTCCTAGGCCTAAGGGTTCTTTCGTTATTGATCGGAAACCGATTTTACCTCCAAAGTCAATGTGACCTTGACCTTTGACCCTTTAACCCCAAAATCAATAGGGGTCTTCTGCTGGTCATGACCAATCACCATACCAAGTTTGAAATTCCTAGGCCAAAGGGTTCTTTCGTTATTGATCGGAAATCGTTTTTACCTACAAGGTCAATGTGACCTTGACCTTTGACCCCTTGACCCCAAAATCAATAGGGGTCATCTACTGATCATGACCAAACACCATACCAAGTTTGAAGTTCCTAGGCCTAAGGGTTCTTTTGTTATTGATCAGAAACCGTTTTTACCCAAGAGGTCAATGTGACCTTGACCTTTGACCCCTTGACCCAAAAATCAATAGGGGTCATCTACTGATCATGACCAATCACCATACCAAGTTTGAAGTTCCTAGGCCTTACAGTTCTTTAGTTATTGATCAGAAACCGTTATTGCTTACAAGGTCAATGTGACCTTGACCTTTGACCCCTAGACCCCAAAATCAATAGGGGTCATCTACTGATCATGACCAATCACCATACCAAGTTTGAAGTTCCTAGGCCTTAAAGTTCTTTAGTTATTGATTGGAAACCGTTTTTGCTTACAAGGTAAATGTGACCTTGACCTTTGACCCCTTGACCCTAAAATCAATAGGGATCATCTACTGATCATGACCAATCACCATACCAAGTTTGAAGTTCCTAGCCTTAAGGTTCTTTAGTTATTGATCCGAAACCGTTTTTGCTTACAAGGTCAATGTGACCTTGACCTTTGACCCCTTGACCCCAAAATCAATAGGGGTCATCTACTGGTCATGACCAATCACCATACCAAGTTTGAAGTTCCTAGGCCTTAAGGTTCTTTAGTTATTGATCGGAAACCGTTTTTGCTTACAAGGTCAATGTGACCTTGACCTTTGACCCCTTGACCCCAAAATCGATAGGGGTCATCTACTGGTCATGACCAATCACCATACCAAGTTTGAAGATCCTAGGCCTAAGGGTTCTTTAGTTATCACTCGGAAACCATTTGGTCTACGGACCGACGGACCGACGGACCGACAAGTGCAAAGCAATATACCCCCTTTTCTTCGAAATGGGGGCATAATTAAATTTTTTCAACTTAAGCAAGCACAAAAATTGCCAGGAAAACAACTCACAGTGTATGTTGTTACTTTTGGGGTCATAATCATCTTAGGACATATAATGTCTTTGTAGCCCAGTCAGATAATGAGTGGCAATGCTTAATTATTCACTTACTTAATGGTTAAATATTCATTCTTTGATATAACTGTAACATCAAATTCTTTAAATGCCAGTGAAAGCTTTAGGTGCATAAAGCAATAGACATTAAACATGATAAAATCAACTAGGTATCTTATATTTGTAAGTAAATCTAAATTTATTCAAGTCATAATAAGCATATTTGTATAAAGCAAACTAATTACCAAGTAAGTTCTGTATTCTTTTGTATCCTTTTCCTCTTTCATTTTCAAACTTCTCACTGAATTTTGGAGAATTTGGTCTAGAAAATAGATATACACATTTATATAATTATTATAATACAATATACATGTATAAAGGTAATCTTATTAAATGTTAAGTCAGTCATATGTTCTTTTTTATATGGAATGCATTTAGATATAAATATACAAAAGGAAAAGGACATAATTTTCAAATTTCCTGCTATACAATTGTATCATACAATACAAGACTATAAAAATTTAAATATTTGAATCTGATCTTATCATTTTAGAGCTTATAACTTGATATTTTTTAAGGATAACCAAATCTAAAAAAAGTTCATTTTGCATTTAGTTAATTTTATTGTATATTGAATTTCAAATATTAATATAGTTCAAATTACTTACCATAAATGTATTCCATAGAATTGGTTATCAATTTGCCTCCATTTTTAACTGCTAAGGAACTTTAAGTACACATTTGATGTCCCATTATACATGTTAATTTAGTTTCAGAAAATTGTTGTAAACCTGTATTAGTTGGAATCATTTCAACTAAATAACAATAACCACATTTAACTTTATACTAGCTCAGATGCACTCATAATAACATATCTTAAAACTTGTAAGCAGATCCAGACATTCATACACTTCTGTATAAATTGCCAGGATGAAGATTTGTTCTGGGTATTAGGTTACATGTAGCTAGAGTATTGTAACCTCACTATTCTCATGTATCAGATAGGTCAGCTTAACATGGGGTATTTTGAAAACTGTTGGAAGGGGTCATAATTTCCACTTGAGGGATCACAGATGTTTGTGATAAGAATATTTGTGTGGAAGAAAACAGTGGTAGATTTAGGGAAGGGTGCATAATTTAAGTCTTTGAGCATCTTTGAACTATGTAAGAAAAATATTTTTTTTAATTCTTCTTTTTTATGTTAAGCAGATACTGATGATACCTGTTAATTACAATATATTTAGATGATTCATGTGCAATAATAATTTTTAGAAAGTATTTTTTAATGTCAAAACTGGCTCTGAATTGGTATAATAGACTTCATAATGAATCATATATTTTTGATGGAATTTAATAAATATATTTTTCACCACCATGATCTGTAGAATGTTAAATCCTTATCAAACTAAAATATTGATTTTACACTTATTTACAGTTTTTTTATACATGCATTTTCATTGACTTTATGAATTAATTTCCAAGCTGATAATCATATCAGAGAACTACAAAAATACAAGTTTTAAAAGCATTTTTGAAGCCCCCTCAAAACAAGTCCTACATTGCTAAGTTTCAAAAGCACAACTTAAGTATACATTTTGTATCAAAATAACTTTCAAACAAACAGTCAAAGTCTGAGAAGTAGCAAATAAGTCTCTAGTACAAAATACTATCAAAATGAAGCACTTAAAAAGCCCTGGTACTTCACCTGAAGTACACATTCACAAATTCAGAAGCTCATTAGAAGCTGGATGGGGCTTCAGATGAAGTACAGCTGCAGTTGAAGCAAGTACACTTGAAGTCCCTAGTACTTCAGCTGAAGCACAGGTGCTAGTTATAAAAGTTCTATTAAAGTCCAGAAAAAGCATATTAAAAGTAGGGGACTCTTGTGAAGTGGGGGCTGCTTTTGTGGCTGGGTGATTACATATGAAAATGATGCCAAACAAGTATGTGCAATGCACAATGAGACTTATAAAAGCCAATATCATAAATATATATAGCAAGTTTAAAGCACTTGTAAGGAGACAAATACTTCTCAGAAACCAGTAAATCAAATTTTGGTTGCCAAGAATTTAAATTATTCAAACTGTCTAAATTCTGAACACAAAATTGAAATCATTTGAATTTATGCAGTACAAATCAAGTTAGAATGAAATTTATCTAAAATCGTTCCAAAGTAAATTGTGGTACTGCTGTACAGAAAGTTTATTTAATCATATAATTATATAAAGATAGAATAAGAAAATAATTCTTTCTAAGAATAG